CGACTGACTGACTGACTGACTGACTGACTGACTAACTGCCTCGGGAATTTTCCTTTACCTATGACCAAAAAAGAGATCTTTGAAAAAGACAGAAAATAAATAAAACTTCTTCCCAATTTGCTCATTGACTGAAATGTCAACTGCAGAGGAGACTGCAAAACCACACGTGCACATGTAACTAGGAAATGAACAGAGTAATAGATTGGTATTGCAAATGTTCACCTTGAGTAATCAAAGAATTTTTCATCTGAATCAACCCACAGCAATGTGTCGCCAATTTTGTTAAATTGGAATTTGAAAATACTGGTTTTTCAGGAGTGAAGGAAACCGGAGTACCCGGAGAAAAACCCTCGAGGCAAGGTGTACTGTGCTATCTCTGCTGTCGGTAATATCTTATATACCTTAATATATCTATAATTCAACTTATGAAAGGTCGTCATCCAAAGCTTGCTTTCATCCACTGTCCTTGATCCCCAGTTATCAGTCATCAGTCATATCCTTGCTTCTTGATCCTCTGTTCTGAGTCCTTGGTCCTCTGTCCTGGGTCCTCTGTCCTGGGCCCTCTGAGTTGGGTCCTCCGTCCTGGGTCCTCTGTCCTGAGTCCAAGGTCCTGGGTCCCCAGTCCTTGATCTTGTGATCTATGTCTCTTACAACTTGTCTGCATATCCAATATGTAACTAGTAAGTATTTTGTACATGACTTTTACTAAACTTGCATAAAAACAATGTGCAAATAATTCTTTTCTCTTAAAATTTTGCTTCAGAGTCTTAAGAATTTCACAACCTCCTAAAGGATTACCCAAACATTTCTACCCTACCAAAACAAACTAATTCCCTGAGCAATCGATCAGTGTTTTTGCAACAGAATGTTAGCCATGAGCCAGCCAATGATGTTCCTTCTTGGGATAAATGATTCTGAACCAGACATTAACTCTGAAGCCAGAGGCAAGAAATTCTGATCAATTCCAAGGAATAATATTGACCCAGGAATAAATAAGATTGAAATGAGCAACTCAAAATCCTGTGAACTTGAGGACATCTCAATGAAATGAAGACTCTTCTCTACTCATTACTCTCCTTATTATGACAACAAAATGTAAGACGTAATCCGATAGAAAATCGAGCAATTTCAGGTTTTAGTCGACAAAAATCTGGTACCAAAATAATTTTAAGTATTTTGCAGTCATTTTGACATTTTTTTAAAGCTAAATACATAAATAATTGCCTGAAATAACACCGAAAACACTTTCCCATGGGAACGAGAGAAACTAAATTTCAAAGTTCAGAGAACTTGTTGAAACACAGGCAAAATTTCATCATCAGTTTCATTTCACCAGTACTTTCAAGTGTTTCATACTAAGTTCAACATTCGTTTTCGACGTTTGGTGTTGCTAGAAATGATTTTTTTGGAGCAGATATTTAAAACAGTCGTACAGAAGTTTGCAATACGATGTACTGTATATAATCTCGGTACTAGGTTTTTGTCCACTTGTTACACAAACGTGTGTTGAATTCCGTCTTAAATAGTTTGCATATACATAACTTGCAAAAAAATTTCGGACAACGTTAATTTCGGACAAAAAAATGTCCAGAAATATAACCGTCTGAAATTTGAAAGTGCCTGAAAATTTAAGCATTCAAAATATTTACAGTAAAGTATAAAGTACATACTTTCTTCTTGGACAGCGCCATCACATGCAGGATGAAGCAAGGACTTGAATTAGGATTTGCTTCTCCTTTTTATCACCTGAAAAGAAAATTTTTGTTTCTCTTATGAGAACATACATGTAATGCAGATCAATTCCATAAATTTTCAAGTCTGACTCAAGTTTTGTGGGCAAAAATTTAACTACTTAAGCTATGTTCTAGCAGAGCGTCCCAAAATTAAACGTCCGAAATTTTTGAAAGTAATGTACCTTTGGCAATTATTAAAACAAAACTAATGTTTATCAAAAACATATATATCACTGTCAAGCCTGCAAATAACAGTACGTCATCGGACAATTGTCCAGCAAATTTGAGGTTTTGACAGGTGAAAGCTTAGCCCGGTCGGACACTCTGACCGGGCATTTCTGCTACAAAGAAAACTAGTGGTAATCGTCGATTAAAGAGTGCATTCGGAGTTTTGGTAGGTTTAGTACGTTTAACAAAAAAAAAAAATTCTAGGAACAGCATTTTGTGCCTGAGCTGTTGTGTACACGTGAAATGAAAACAAATGAATTGCAAGTTAATTCCATACCAATATTGAGCAATAAAACTACTATGACAAGAAAACTTTTAAGAGTGACCGCGAGGAATAGTTCGGAGCAGTGAAGGGTCCAACACTGAACTCGTAAAATATTGAACGAGTAACAGAGAAATCTGATTTTCCCTCTGCACTAACTTAGTCGTGTAATAAGGGTATGTACATTGTATCTCCCCCAAAGGTACTGATGGTTTCAGATCTTACGTTGATTTCTATCTTATGTTTCAGAAAAAGGAAACGGGAAAGGCTGGTCTGCTAGCCCAGATCCACCACTGATTGAATTTAGAAAACAGTCCTAAGAAAGTACATGTACGCGCGCTGATTGGTTAAAAATCGTGTTTCTATTAAACAATTAGATTATGAGCTCGAGATTTCTATACGCCCTCGTCAACTATCACGCATAGAAATCGAAAGCGAATAATCTAATTGCTTTAGTATAAATCTACTAGTCGTTCAAAAGTTTATTTAAATCCTCTTCACAGACACTTCGAAAACGCCAAGAAGCGTTCGTCATTTCGTTAACAAGGGCTCACTGCTACGCTACTCACTATCTATCACAGAATAGAAAGTGAGTAGCTTAGTCAATCAGAGAATAGCATTCGTGATGGAACGCTAACAGATTTTTACTTAAACTCGATAGAAACACAGAACTAGCACAAGCTGTCGACATAATGATGGCGCGAGCAAAGGGAATTTACATTTTGATAATCAAAGTTAACAAGTTGTGTGGAAACACTCGCATGCGGCTCGTGTTCCCAAAGCATTTCTCGTTCTCCCAAACTTCCACTCGTGTTTCTACTAACCAATTAGATTATGAGCTCGAGATTTCTATCGCGCGAGAGCGAATAACCTAATTGTTTTAGTATAAATCTACTAGTCGTTCAAAAATCTAATCTAAATCTTCTTCAAAGACACTTCGAAAACACAAACAAGCGGCCCCTAGCGCACGCTGCTACGCTACTCACTATCTAAAACAGAATAGGAAGTGAGTAGCGTAGCCAATCAGAGAACGGCATTCATGATAGGACTCTAGTAGATTTATACTAAGACTCGATAGACATACGGTACATGTTTTCTATTTCTTAAATAAATTACGTATACGGCTACAGTGCGAAGAAAAACAACAAAGAATTAGCTAAAGAACATGCACTCGCACGCTGTCTATTGACGGAAACCATTTGGTTATTGTGCAACATAATATTCACAACAAGGCTCTATCGCTCACAAGTTCAGAACAACAACAAGGAAAATCAGTGCTAATACCCTCCCACATGAAAAAAATCCCATACCTCCCCTCCCACAAGTAAAAAACATCCCGGGAGTAGTAAAAAGTAGATGACGTCGCCGGCGATTATATCGCTTAACTCAGTTTGTCTATCGGTATAGTAAACTATGCTCCAACGGAAGCTTGAAAACAAATTAGCTTTGATCGTCATTTTGAACTATAAGTGACTTACTGCTGTCGAGCTAAGTACGTTTACAGCAGACGGGTTAAGTGGACAGCATTGTGTGACTATTAGACAATTCGCTTTCATATAATGAAACTATGGTTGTATATTATATTGACGCTGCGAACTTACATTTGCATAAAAAGGGATGTTCGACATGACTTGTTGGTTTGAAACAATAATGCAAATAATTTCACAGCAGCAGCAAGCTACTCTAGCTAAAGACAACCGAGTTTTGAATGACCAACTACGAGTTTATCTACAGGCAGATGTAGATATTTAGTTTGAGTAATAATTTAAAACAAAACAAAACGAAACGAAACAAAATATGGACATTGTTAAACAGAACGTCTCACGGTCAAAATTTGCATTGCTCACAGACAGTTACATGGCGTGACGAAACCGAGACACTTCTATCTATTCCTTTGTATTGGTGAAAATTGTGAAATTAATACTGACATCTTCTTCATTGTACACGATTAGAATCCTACTCTCTTTTAGCTGCGTGCATTCCCGTACTGTTTGGCCAGTCGAATACAAAGGATGACGAACCTTGTACTTAGTAGTCAGTATCGGAACCAGAGGCGCTCTAAAGAGGGGAGGGAGGGGAGGAGGGTTGGTGAATATGGCCTGCTAGCCGACATCCGTCACTGGTTATCACCTACTCATATAGCATGGACCAGCATCCGCCAATTCAAGATGGGATTCAGGGTTCCAGCTCGCTAACGTTTTTGTACCAATTACACTATAAGCAAACACAAAAGCAAAACAAGCACATACTCATTCTCCAGATTGAACTGAAAACCGACGGACATACCGACGAAGTGCATTTTAAGGAAAAAAAAAAGAAAATAGACCCTTCCCCACCCCCAACGGAAAGTCCAAACAACGCGCTATACACTGTAGTTGCTACTTTTATTATACGTAGCATTTGGTAGCGTACTGGGTTCGTGTCTCGCAAAACCATCCATTCAAGAAAATGCTGTAGTTGACATGTGAACTAAAACCAAATGTGAATTAAACGAACAATCATAGCGCAGTTTGCGTATGAAACTGCTAAAGAGTTAAAATGACGACAGTGTCGGCGGTGGGAGCTTTTTATATTTTATATATTTTTTTTTCTTTTTCCACTTTTTTTTTTTTTTTTTTTTTTT